AGAATACACGGTAGGGACCCCCCCTTCAAGCAGAATACACGGTAGGGACCCCCCCTTCAAGCAGAATACACGGTAGGGACCCCCCTTCAAGCAGAATACACGGTAGGGACCCCCCCTTCAAGCAGAATACACGGTAGGGACCCCCCCTTCAAGCAGAATACACGGTAGGGACCCCCCCTTCAAGCAGAATACACGGTAGGGACCCCCCCTTCAAGCAGAATACACGGTAGGGATCCCCCCTTCAAGCAGAATACACGGTAGGGACCCCCCTTCAAGCAGAATACACGGTAGGGACCCCCCTTCAAGCAGAATACACGGTAGGGACCCCCCCCTTCAAGCAGAATACTCGGTAGGGACCCCACTTCAAGCAGAATACACGGTAGGGACCCCCCTTCAAGTAGAATACACGGTAAGGATCCCCCCCCCTCCTTCAAGCAGAATACACGGTTCAGGGTAAAATATAGACACTTCAGTTACTATTCATACGGAAGGATACATGCTATACATATGCAGATTAGTGGAGATACAGCACCCACTAGCGTCCCCCCCCTCCCTTCACCCACCTTACCCACCTGCCCCCCATCCTCACCCACCTGCACCCCACCTAACCTCACATCCTCTCCAACCTCACATTCCCATGTAACATCACCTCCCATGTTAAATCCTCCCTCCTCCCTCCCCCCAACTCCCATAACATCCCTCCCATCCACAACCCCACTGACCCCCACCCCATAACCCCCCCCCCACACACACAGGGGTCGCAGGGAGCCAGGAACTAGTTTATGTACCATGGAACAACACAGAACACGACCCAGGGCCAACAAGCTCGCTGGAATGTAAAACGGTACTGGAGGGGGAGGAGGAGGGGGAGGGGGGAAGAGGGGGTGGGAAGAGAGGGGGGGGAGGAGGGGGGGGGGGGGTCACAGGAGGGCTCTTGAGTCTCCAGGAGAGGGATGTGTGGGGGGGGGGGAGGTAGCAGGGGTCTCTCTCTCTCTCTCTCTCTCTCTCTCTCTCTCTCTCTCTCTCTCTCTCTCTCTCTCTCTCTCTCTCTCTCTCTCTCTCTCTCTCTCTCTCTCTCTCTCTCTCTCTCGCTCTCCTGTTTGGCGCTCAGGTTTTTCAGGACTCTATGATGTCTTGGATACAAGGGGCTCTATGATATGGTGTACACTAGGGGCTCTATGATATGGTGTACACTAGGGGCTCTATGATATGGTGTACACTAGGGGGCTCTATGATATGGTGTTCACTAGGGGGCTCTATGATATGGTGTACACTAGGGGCTCTACGATGTGTTGAACACAAGGGGTGCTCTAAGATGTGCTATACACAGAAGAGAGAGATTAATACACACATACAAAGGAGAAGACGTGTGTAATATATTGTTCAACTGAACACTATACAACACAATAGTTCCAGGAGAGACGAAGACAGACGCTAAAGAGAGGAGACAAGACATAATAGGGATAATGTGCGTGTGTAAAAAAGGAATAAAAGCAGGAAGAAATGAATGGAAAGAAATGTGTAGAGAAAAAACGGCTGGAGAGAGAGAGAGAGAGAGAGAGAGAGAGAGAGAGAGAGAGAGAGAGAGAGAGAGAGAGAGAGAGAGAGAGAGAGAGAGAGAGAGAGAGAGAGAGAGAGAGAGAGTAACGGACTGACAAAGAATCATGCAATCCACAATTAACCATGGAATCAAAGGGACAACGTCGGGTCACGGAATAATTCAAGAGGCCAGCCGAGGGAACCAGCTAATGGAGAAAGGGGGGGTAAAAATGATGAAGAGAGAGAGGGGGCGAACCACCAATTACTCATGGAGGGAACCCTCTGCCCCCCAGCACCACTTGGGGCTGCCTCGTCGCCAGACCTCGAGTCCCTCAATGACAGTGTAAAAAAGGAAAAAGTTGGACAGTTCGCAGCACTGCCAGCGACCCAAGTCCAGTCAACGCTCTCTTTGCCACCTCCTTCAATTCTCAATTGAATATGCGAAACCATTTATATATATATATATATATATATATATATATATATATATATATATATATATATATATATATATATATATATATATATGCAAGTGACGATCACGAAACTCTGATCACTTGTATGCGGAAAATCCAGAGAGAAATGGAAAGAGAGAGATGAACTTTTCGGCCGAACTGGGCCTTTGTCAACACCGGATCACCGTAGAGGGTTGGGTAGACTGTATTTTGCCAGACTGCCGGAGAGTTTTTAACACTGCCACCTTACAAGTGACTCCTTTGCTCACTAGAGACTCGAGTATCAAGTAGAGTGTTAAGTTGGGTGAAGGAATACCTTTCAGAGGGGAGACAGAAGGTCGTAATGAAATACATATCAGCATGGAGTACCACAAGGGTCACTATTTGACTTCATGCTGTTTCTAATATACCTAAATGACCTAACAAAAGCAGCACACTCATTCCTATGAATACTTGCTGTAGATACAAAATTAATGAGAAGGATTAAACAGACGAGAGGTAGCAATCCGGTGTTGACAAAGGCCCAGATCGGCCGAAACGTTCATCTCTCTTTTCCATTTCTCTGTGGATTTTCCGCATATATATATATATATATATATATATATATATATATATATATATATGCGGAAAATCCACAGAGAAATATGAAATGAGGTGAACGTTTCGGCTTTGTTAAAGCCTTTGTCAACACCAGACTGGTGTTTGTCAGTCTGGTGTTGACAAAGGCTTTAACAAAGCCGAAACGTTCACCTCATTTCATATTTCTCTGTGGATTTTCCGCATAAAATGATCAGTGTTTTGTGATCGTCAATTGCATATATATATATATATATATATATATATATATATATATATATATATATATATATATATATATATATATATATATCGTACCTAGTAGCCAGAACGCACTTCTAGGCCGACTATGCAAGGCCCGACTTGCCTAATAGGCCGAGTGATTTTCTTTATTTTCAATCAATTGTTTCCAATTAGTTTATTTTATTTATTATTAATATATTATATTAGGAACATAAATTATTGACTTAGCTGTGTTAGTTTAGGTTAGGTTAAGATAGGTTAGGTAGGGTTGGTTGGGTTCGGTCATATATCTACGTTAGTTTTAACTCAAATTTAAAATTTAACTCATACATAATGAAATGAATAGCTTTATCATTTCATAAGAAAAATAATTAGAAAAATACATAAATTCTGGAAAATTTGGCTTATTAGGCAAATCGAGTCTTGCATGGTAGGCCGAGTACTGCGTTCTGGCTACTAGGTACAACATATATATATATTATGACCGCATTGCTGGCTCTGGTGTTCTTATAGTAAAAGCTTGCTATGCTTCTAATTTATTTGATATCTTTATATCTTAAATACACATGTGGAAGAGGTGAAGTTGTGTGGGATAAGGTCAAGTGATGAACCGTAAGGGGAGGAATAGGGGGGATAATGGCGATGGATGCCAAATATTGGGTATTAGGCGGTGGGACCCTTATACCCAATCTTTCTTTCCCCCTCTCTATCTTATCCCTCATCTCTCTTCCCTTCTCCCCTCACTCCTCTCTTCTCCCCTCCATCTTCCATCTCTCTTACCCTCTCTAATCTCTCTCCTCATCTCTCGACATCTCTCAGAAAATTACGAAGAAGCTCAGAAGCACTAAAAGTGTCATAAAAATACGGGAAACATATCATCTATTTGACTTATTTAACTACTTTAAGACTTATTGAACTTAACTGACTTATGACACTCCCATACCTCCCACTTGTCTTCTTGGAAAGTTGGGTGAGGCTAGATCATAGATATAGTTATGTTTTTATATAAATAAATATAAATAACACATTTTGCTGAACGACGAGGTGGCTTCAAACGACGTAATAAGCTCTAATAACACTATTATAAAGCGGTAAATAATTTAGAATAATAGCTTAACGAGTAAATAATTTGGAATAATAGCACCATTAACATTATCTCACCCTCAGAGAGATAGGCTCCGAGGGCGTGACGCTACCAATAACGCCACAGAAAACGTGGCGAGGGAGAGGTATGCTTAAATGTTTATGGCCTGAGCACCGTACAAGGTTATCCATCTTGGTCTAGAAAGTGCCAGTTACCAACTGTAGATTATTAGGTTCCCTCTCGCCCACTGACATGCCAGGGGATGTGATGGCCCGGGCGATGTGGGACTATGTTTATGTGGAATGCCCAGGTGAAATCTACGGGGAGGTCAAGATGGCATTTGAGACACGGACGTGAGAATCCGGGAAATCGAACACAGTTCTGCATTACTACAGTGTTACAAAACTCTGTACGTTCAGATCTACATACATAGGTATGTTAACTCAATATGTACACACGGCTTGGTGCCTTCTTTTAATGATCACGTGCTACATATATACATAACGACATGATGACAACAGTCAGACAGGAGGTGGAGGGTTGGGTAGACTGTATTTTGCCGGACTGCCACAGAGTTTTTAACACTGCCACCTTACAAGTGACTCCTTTGCTCACTAAAGACTCGAGTATCGAGTAGAGTGTTAAGTTGGGTGAAGGAATACCTTTCAGAGAGGAGACAGAAGGTCGTAATGAAATACATAACAGCATGGAGTACCACAAGGGTCACTATTTGACTTCATCCTGTTCTTAATATACTTAAATGACCTGACAAAGCAGCACACTCATTCCTATGAATACTTGCTGAAGATACTAAACTAATGAGAAGGATTAAACAGACTAGAGGTACAATACATTTGCAAAATGAAGTAGACAGTCTCCAGAGATGGTCTGAGAAGTGGCCATTAGATGTTAACCCAGACAAATGTAAAATTATGAGACTAAGAATGGGAGTGAGGTCTCAAATACAGTACAAAATGAAGGGATGGAAGCTCCCGACTTAAAAAGATAAATATTTACACATATAAATAACTGCAAGTCTTATACCAAAGCCTCACGTCACCAGAATAAAATCAGAAGATTAGGCCAATCTGGCCAACATTCGGATGGACAAAGGAGCATTCCCCGCACTATATTTCTATGTAAGACCCAACCTTGAGTATGCAGCCCTGGCGTGGAACCCCCTACATAAAGAAACACAAGGAAGTAAAGTTTTAAAGAGTTTGCAACAGGCCTCGTTCCTGAGCTAAGGGGACTGAAGTATCATAAGAAACTGAGGAAAGAGAATATCACTACACTTAAGTATGAATAAGACAGACATGATAACGACATACACGATTATAGAGGAATTGACCAAATGCTGACCACCTCACCTCAAGCGAATATAAGCTGTGGCAGCGCATGGAAAATTGGTCTTTGAAAATGTAAGGAGTACCTTGCGAAACGCATCCGTAGGCGTCAGACCATAATACAGTGTGAAAATGAACTGTGGAGAGTTAATTTTTCAATTTCCTTCAACAGTGAAGAAAAATATAAGACATATTGAGAAGATTCGTGTTAGAATCATTAAACTTACACTTTCGATCATATTCAAAAAAATTATATATATATATATATATATATATATATATATATATATATATATATATATATATATATATATATATATATATATATTATTAAATATGACCGAAAAGTAAGATTAATAATTCTAACACGAATTTTCTCGATGTTTCTTATATTTCTTTTCACTGTTGATGGTAACTGAAAAATCAATTCTTCAAAATTCATTTTTATTTCTAGTCTGACGCGACACTTGAACGCGTTTCGTAAAACTTATTACATTTTCAAAGACTTTAGTTTACACATACACAACTATAACTGAACAGAGTTTAAAATTATAAAATCGAAGCTGTTTTAAACTCTATTCAGTTATAGTTGTGTATGTGTAAACTAAAGTAGCAGAATAGCATTTCGCCTTTATAAAAAGACACCTCGAACACTGTTTATGTACGACAGACGTATATCTGCAATCCCCTTCTGTGGCTGACTGTCCAATACATCACTGAACTATATGTTTATCAGATATCTCACCCTCTCCACGGAGGACAGAAGAAAATGTATATATGCTGGTTAGCATTGTTAATGTGTGGCCACGTCTGTGGTAGAAAATCTCCGAAGTCTCCTAATCTTCTGTTTGTAATAACAAACAAAAGTACATCAAGGTGAGTACATCGAGACAAGAACCGGTTTCAGCAGCTGCCCCAACGACCACGATTACATTGTAGTCAATTCAGTACATTAATGACTTCTGGAATTCATACCAGTGAACAAGTTATCTTAATTCCATACTAGATATAGACTTGCACTCTACCTTCTCGTCCGTAAAACTGAGTTGCATCTCGTCGAAAAAGGAGTTGAAACCAGAGTTGAAACCAGAATTGAAACCGGAGTTGAAACCGGAGTTGAAACCGGAGTTGAAACCGGAGTTGAAACTGGAGTTGAAACTGGAGTTGAAACCAGAGTTGAAACTGGACTTGAAACTGGACTTGAAACTGGAATTGAAACAGGAGTTGAAACCGCAGTTGAAACCGGAGTTGAAACCGGAGTTGAAACTGGACTTGAAACTGGAGTTGAAACCGGAATTGAAACCAGAGTTGAAACCGGAATTGAAACCGGAGTTGAAACCGGAGTTGAAACCAGAGTTGAAACCGGAGATGAAACTGGAGTTGAAACTGGAATTGAAACTGGAATTGAAACCGGAGTTGAAACCAGAGTTGAAACTGGAATTGAAACCGAAGTTGAAACTGGAGTTGAAACTAATCTTACACATATGATCTTACTAATTTGCCCATCTGATCCTTTCTTTCACAAACAAATTACGATTAGTTTGAAAATAACCTGATCCCAGCTATAAATACCAACAATAATAGCAATAATTAAATAATTAACATCCCATCACAATGCAACTCAAAATAAATTCCTCGACTGTGGGCGCAATCATCCTTGAGAAACACGGCAGTCTGTAACCGAATAATTATCAACGATTAACTCAATTTCTCAAGCCTGAATGATGAGATGTTGCAGCAACACACTATATGGAGAGGGGGGAGTGGGGGGGGAGTACAGTGTTGAGTTGGGTTTGTTTTGCATACAGGGGTGGAGCAGTGTTACATTGTAGATACACTATTTTGTTTTACAAGGGGGGTTGAGTAAGGGTGGATTACTGCTGTGGAAGTGCTGTTTTTGGTAATACTGTGTACGTAGGGAAGACCAGAGTTGGTGACAGTATTGGGCAGCGCCACTCATCCTGTGAGTGGACACACCGCCATAGTGACAGTATTGGGCAGCGCCACTCATCCTGTGAGTGGACACACCGCCATAGTGACAGTATTGGCAGCGCCACTCATCCTGTGAGTGGACACACCGCCATTGTGACAGTATTGGGCAGCGCCACTCATCCTGTGAGTGGACACACCGCCATAGTGACAGTATTGGGCAGCGCCACTCATCCTGTGAGTGGACACACCGCCATAGTGACAGTATTGGGCAGCGTCACTCATCCTGTGAGTGGACACACCGCCATAGTGACAGTATTGGACAGCGCCACTCATCCTGTGAGTGGACACACCGCCATAGTGACAGTATTGGGCAGCGTCACTCATCCTGTGAGTGGACACACCGCCATAGTGACAGTATTGGGCAGCGCCACTCATCCTGTGAGTGGACACACCGCCATAGTGACAGTATTGGGCAGCGCCACTCATCCTGTGAGTGGACACACCGCCATAGTGACAGTATTGGGCAGCGCCACTCATCCTGTGAGTGGACACACCGCCATAGTGACAGTATTGGGCAGCGCCACTCATCCTGTGAGTGGACACACCGCCATAGTGACAGTATTGGGCAGCGCCACTCATCCTGTGAGTGGACACACCGCCATAGTGACAGTATTGGACAGCGTCACTCATCCTGTGAGTGGACACACCGCCATAGTGACAGTATTGGGCAGCGCCACTCATCCTGTGAGTGGACACACCGCCATAGTGACAGTATTGGGCAGCGCCACTCATCCTGTGAGTGGACACACCGCCATAGTGACAGTATTGGGCAGCGCCACTCATCCTGTGAGTGAACACACCGCCATAGTGACAGTATTGGGCAGCGCCACTCATCCTGTGAGTGGACACACCGCCATAGTGACAGTATTGGGCAGCGCCACTCATCCTGTGAGTGGACACACCGCCATAGTGACAGTATTGGACAGCGTCACTCATCCTGTGAGTGGACACACCGCCATAGTGACAGTATTGGGCAGCGCCACTCATCCTGTGAGTGGACACACCGCCATAGTGACAGTATTGGGCAGCGCCACTCATCCTGTGAGTGGACACACCGCCATAGTGACAGTATTGGGCAGCGTCACTCATCCTGTGAGTGGACACACCGCCATAGTGACAGTATTGGACAGCGCCACTCATCCTGTTAGTGGACACACCGCCATAGTGACAGTATTGGGCAGCGCCACTCATCTTGTGAGTGGACACACCGCCATAGTGACAGTATTGGAGTGGACACACCGCCAGCGCCATAGTGACTCATCCTGTGAGTGGACACACCACCATAGTGACAGTATTGGACAGCGCCACTCATCCTGTGAGTGGACACACCGCCATAGTGACAGTATTGGACAGCGCCACTCACTGTGAGTGGACACACCGCCATAGTGACAGTATTGGGCAGCGCCACTCATCCTGTGAGTGGACACACCGCCATAGTGACAGTATTGGGCAGCGTCACTCATCCTGTGAGTGGACACACCACCATAGTGACAGTATTGGACAGCGCCACTCATCCTGTGAGTGGACACACCACCATAGTGACAGTATTGGACAGCGCCACTCATCCTGTGAGTGGACACACCACCATAGTGACAGTATTGGACAGCGCCACTCATCCTGTGAGTGGACACACCACCATAGTGACAGTATTGGACAGCGCCACTCATCCTGTGAGTGGACACACCACCATAGTGACAGTATTGGACAGCGCCACTCATCCTGTGAGTGGACACACCGCCATAGTGACAGTATTGGACAGCGCCACTCATCCTGTGAGTGGACACACCGCCATAGTGACAGTATTGGACAGCGCCACTCATCCTGTGAGTGGACACACCGCCATAGTGACAGTATTGGGCAGCGCCACTCATCCTGTGAGTGGACACACCGCCATAGCAGCATGTACAATACTCCGCAATAGGAAGAAAACCCGCTGGGTTGTTCATCCTGTCACTTGTACCCAGACACAGCTGGGACTTGCTTAACTGCCTCAAGTCAACAGCTTATCAAACAAGAATGTTATGTACAAGAAAAGTAGTTGAGTTTATAATGTGTTCGTAGGGGAAGAGTGGAGTCGGCGTTGAGTGTGTTTGGGTTAGCAGTGAGTGCGTTTGGGGAAGGGTTGAGTGCAAGAGCAGTATGTATTTTTGCGTGGGCGTTACGTGAAAGGTCGCACTACGGTTGCGTGTGGTAATGAAAGCGTATTAGATAGAACTGCGTATCTAGGATACGGGGGCAGCGTTGCGTGCACGAGGACTGAGTGGGAGTATCTTAAGTTGCGTGCAGGGAAGAGGGGAGGGGAGGGGGGAGGAAAGGAAAAGAGAATGTGTTGCGTGCAGAAGGGAACAGAATAGGAGTTTTACATTGCGTGCAGAAGGGGAGAAAAGATAGCATATTGCGTGCAGGATTCACAAGATGACCCTTGGCACCGCAGTGCCTCGTGTCGGGATCCATTATGAGTGCCATAGGGCCTCATGAGGCCTACCTCATGTGCCAGGTAAAGCCTCATTTGTTTTGATTACAAATCGTGTTTACAAAATTGGGTCAAACAACGACCTCATTTAGTACGTTCCAATTATTTACGACTCCTAAACTGAAGTGGTTCCTTCTGGCATCTCTGAGTCTCCTTTGGGTCTCTAGTTGCCATTTGTTCCTTACTTTTACTGTTCCTTTATATAGAATTTTGTACATCGTTATCATGTCTCCTCTATTCTTTATTTCCTGTAGTATGGTGATATCCAATTTAGGCTTGTTGCATATTTTTT